TCTCAAGCGAACGGCTCGATATGGCACCCCAGCCTGGAGCTGTGGAACCTTCATGTATGGTTACTTCAGGGGTCCTAGAGGGGCTAAGCACCCTGTCTCCCCATGTGCTTGACGCTCATTGAGTCTTGTGCACCTTCTACTATAGGCGTCTGTATGCTCTTAAATGGGGAGTGTTCGTGAAATGGTGCTATGATAGAGATATCGACTCGGCAAGCTGTCCCGTGTCGGATGTTCTACGTTTTCCGCAGCACAGGCTAGGTAACGGCACATTACATAAAATGCACGGCGCTTCCTTGCTATTGTTGTTGTGTCTGCCCTGTATTAGTACAGCCGCTCATTTATTCTGGCCAGATTTACTAATGTTGTGTACCTGAGCTAAGATGCTCATTGGTCTAGCTCCGCCTATCAGCTATGGGTTTCCCTAGCGGCATCGCTATTGGTTGGGAATTGTGTGTTGTTCTATCCCATGCTTGGTGTGGTCTTAGCCCTTGGTTCGGGCTGATCTTCGCCGCTCTCATGACGGGATTCTATATTGTTCCCATCGCGATCTTCACATGTAGAGTAAATGCTTAAGCTCTCGAAAGGGAACGTCTCCGGTTACTGTCGTAACCTCGGTTCCCTGAGAGTGAGAACGAGATATTGCGAGGGTCACCATGATCGCTGCTAGATCAGTGGGGCAAGCTTTCAGTCTCAGATTCTCAGGTAATTATCGATCTCACTGCATTATATACTGCCGGCAGGCTTGTCAGTATTTGCATGCAATTCGCATAATTAGCGACAGTTGGCCAGTATATTGTACTGGAATTATCCTATAAGGTTTCAGGATTTTGGAGAAGGGGAGGAATTTTCATTGTGATCTTCTCAATGTCTCGTTCCCGCTCTCAAGGAACCAAGGTTACGACAGTAACCAGAGATGTTTTCTGAGCGCACCCATCCGAAGAGCTCGCAGAGAAGGCTGGCTAAGCCACGGTCACACTAGACTTTGAGCATGCTAAATTTCTTTGTGCGCTGCAACGGTCGTGATATGACTTCACGCTCTGCAGTGTCTTTTTAAACACTTAAAATCAACACATAAATAATAATACATCTAAAATGTAAAAACATACAATCTACTCCATTTTCCTGCAGCGCTGCAGTTTTAAATTTATGTTTATGTTTATTATGTTTATGAAACTTTCGCACAAGCTTGCGTTTCCGGTCTGACGCATTCGCATGCATATGAATGGAAGTCAACGGAACAAAAAGTGCAGTGTGACCGCCCCTTTAGATAGCACGTCACATGAGTACTAAACTAAGTTCTCTTACGCTTCTTATTACGCTTAAACTGTCAAATACACACAAGGATATGTCAAAACACACAAAGTTCACATAAACACAGTCTGTTATGTCTGTGAACATAAACAGCTGGGAAAGAAATCGCATGTGTGTATTAGATCTGTGTGACAGCAGTGTAATATACCTACTGCTGTCTATGCTGTGAATTTTAATCACAGCAAAACAAAAAGAAAATCACTTACTGCTCTTGACTGAATAATGTTAGTAGCTTATAAGAATGAATTTCGTACTTGAATGCTGGTTTAAAATGGTCTAGCGAGGAGATAAACATGGTGGACTGTGTACAGCTCACTCAGGGGAGGAGCTAAGCTAATAAGGAAGAGATTGTTACCAGTCGTGGGCGGGGCCTATTCAAAATGACATCACATTGGCGAACATTCCTGAACGGCTCATTTTGAGACACGTTTCTGATTTATGGGGAAAATAACAAATGGAGTGGATGAATATTTACTACAACAGTATGGTTGTGTACACACACCGCCAACACATAATTATGTTCAAAAACAATACAAAAGTGAATTTTGAATAATAGGTCCCCTTTAAAGAACACAAGATTTCCACTATCATAACTTTTTTAAGACTAAAATTATTTTAGAATGGGTTTAGTTAAAACCATAAAAACTGAAATAAAGTATTAAAACAACAGTTAGATGCCAAGGAAACATTTCCCATTTTAGTTTAACTTTATGCACTGACATGACAAACTAAAACTGAATTAGAAGTTAATAAAAACTATAGACATTAAAAACTAGTAAACATGACAAAACACAACACAATTATTAAAATTAAAATGAATACTGAAATATAAAAATTAAAAACTAATTTAAACTATTAATAAAAACCTATAATAGCAGCTCAATTATGCTAAAATAACACTGGACAGAACCTCTCATTCTTATTATTGCACATTTTATTGCACACAAGAACAGATTTTTATTTTTTTTTTGTACAGCACACCTTTATGGAAAAGCCATGAAGAATTTGATTTTTCCCCCTCCACCATAATTATTATTTAGTGACATCACTGTTTTGTGATTGCACTAACCATTCAGCAAATATCATCTCAGTGTTTTCACTCTTTACAAAACTAGTTGAATATCACAGGACAGAAGTCACAGACTGCTTATCTATATACATGCCAACATGCCAATTGTTATCAATAGTGAAATTTACAACCGTATAGAGTAGACATTATTGCTAGACTCATTGATTTCCCTCCAGTCTAACAACACTACTCACACCATATCCATTTCTATGTAATATAGAAATATTAAAAACACTTCAACTAGAATTTATAAAACTAGGCAAATCGTAGTTAAATATAGACAGTAAATATTTAATTTTGTGTACTCTCATACTTAATAACAAACAGGTCTAAATCTACATAAATAACAAATAACCCTAAATATTCCCTATATAACTTTTTCAATTCTATGAACATTGTATTTTCCAATTACAACTATTAAAATGAATTGTTTTTAGGAGGAAGATCTGAAATTTCACTAAAAAAATTCAGTACACATGTATTATATTCTATAACAACCAGTTACAAACCTCTTTTTAAAAACATCCATCCAAAAAACAACTATCAAAAATACAATCACATTAAATTACTACTACAGGCAAGCCTGTGTTGTTGTTGTTGTTGTTTAAATATATATTAGTTTATCGCTAAAAGACCTATTATGTTTCTACAAATATTCCCACACGTACATGAATCATCAAAGACAAATGATCAGTCTCTATGAATTCAGAAGTATTGCTACAGTCAGTGCAAACAGATTAAAGACAGAATTACCACAACGTGATTACTTGGACAATAACTACAGGAAATAAACAGTCTTTATATAACCAGTGCTATTACATAATCTGATTACAAAAACCAAGTACTTGTAATTAGAGTACAATTAAAAAACAAACAAGTTATCAGAGTACAGTTACTTTTTCATGGACTACATGCTGACATATTGATTACATTACCATCAGTCAACAGAAATAAATGAATCTGTGATTTACTGATGAGTTGTCTGTTTGGTTAACCGTTGTCATTCCAAATGATGTCTTATATCCACAGCAAAAGTTAACTAGAAAACTTTAATAGTCTGCTGTACAAGTTTACTTTTGTGTGATGAGTGTTGATTGATTCTTAAAGGGATAGTTCACCCAAAAATTCTATCACAAAAGAAGATATTTTGAAGAATGTTGGTAACCGTTGGAGATCATTGACTTGCATTGTATTGACAAAAACAAAACACTTGATACATTTCTCAAAATATTTTCTTTTATGTTCCACCGAAGACAGTAAGTCATAAAGGTTTGGTTCGACATCAGGGTGGGTAAATGATGACAGAATTTTCATTTTTGGGTGAACTAGCTCTATAATTCACAAATTAGTGATTAAATTTTCATCAAAACATGCAATAATAAAAAAATCAATCTAAGGCTATTTGTGCTGTTGTGTGTGCAGTAGTTTAAGGAAAATGCTCCTTTTTGGTGTTTTTTTGCATTTTTGGGATTTGCAAATTTATGGATTTATGGATAGAGGACTCATATTTTAGCTGGAAGCAACGGTTTGAAGTTAAAAATGTATTGATGGATTTGTTTCTTACAAACACAAAGCTTTTCGTTTCACAAGACATTAACTGATGGACTGGAGTGCTGTGGATTGCTTGTGGATTATTGTGATGTTTTTATCAGCTGTTTGGACTCTCATTCTGACGGCACCCATTCACTGCAGAGCATCCATTGCTGAGCAAGTGATGAAATGCTACATCTCTCCAAATCTGTTCCCACGAAGAAATAAACTCATCTACATCTTGGATGCCCTAAGAGTGAGTACATTTTCAGCACATTTTCATTTTGGGTGAACTATTCCTTTAAGTAAAAAAGAATAGTTCAGGTAACAGTACGGCTGAACATCAGAGATTTCCCTTCATGCTTAAAGCATTTTGTAAACACTCTAGTCCAGCTCCACTATGGATTTTTAATTTCCTAAAAAGTGAGAAAGGGCCGCATATATAGGCTGAAACATTGTGAACGGCGGCGTAATACAAACTGTGAAACGTCCCAGTGCTGTTATACTCTCTATTGGTGCTCTTGCAATGCAGCTCAGCCAATCAGAACACAGCAACAGAGCTACCCTTGTGAAAAAGAAGTGTGCTTAATTGTATTAAATGTGCACTTGTAGTGTACTTCAAATCTTAAAAGAATATTTAAAAAAAAACTGCATATAATATTAATGACATGCAAGGCCACTTAAGTGACTTAAAGAGAGAACTGTTTCTGAACACACTTAAGTACACTTTTAAAAAATACACTAATAATGTCAAATTTACTTTTAAATCATTGTTTTAATAATCTTTTGTCATGTTTTAAAGAAGTACACTTTTGATGCGTTGACTAACATACTGAAGCACATGTAAAGTACTTGATTATAATTTTAACTGTATTGTTATTCAATATTGCATTCAAAGTTAATATATTTTAAATGTACTAGATTCCAACTTCATCATTACAAATGTGTAATTAGAAATATATTTAAATACTTTACAATTCAACCATATTTCAAAGACAACAGAAGTAATTATAAAATTACATATAAAGATGTACTTAAGTCCTACTTAAGTGGGTCAAAAAACACTCCTAAGTTCAACTAATTGCATTTAATATACATTTAAACTATAACACAATTTCATTAATTGCAAAGAACATGCAATTAAGTGTCTGAAAATATTACATTCAGTTCACACTTAAGTATATTCATTTAAAGTATGTTATGTCCATAACACGTATTCTTTAAATTAAGTATGCTAAAATGTACTTCTTTTTTACAAGGGTAAAACACTGCCAAGAAGAATTACTGAAGTCATAAGCAGGTAAACAGTGCTTGATTGTAACTTTAGTGTTTCTGGAAGTTGTCAGCATCCTGGGTCGACTGAAGACAGAAATCATTATATTATACAGTAAACCTTCCAGCTTGAAGCTTATCTGTTCCTGCTGTGGTCAGAACAAACAACTGACCGGATCTTGAAAACCATGCTGAGGTTGTTTCTGCAGAGCACAACATTTCCTCTTGCTAATACACTGTACGCAGGCATGAAATCAGTCAAGATTTAGTACCTGATCTACAGTAAAAACACTATAAAAATGAAACCAAAACAAGAACGCACTGAAGAGTGTGTCAGCGCCTCTAGAGCTGACCGAAGAGGATGGAGCAGAGCAGAAAGATGGAGTAAAGGAGCATGAGACCAAGACCTAGTTTCCGATCCAGCTTCCAGCCGTTTAGATGCACACTCAGGACCTACAACACACAAACACACACACACACACACACACACACAGAGACAGAGACAGACAGACAGACAGATAGAGTCAACATGGACACTAACAGCATTGTGTATGTGTGTAAACGGTGCGATTGGGGGATTTCGGTGCCTCACACACACACACACACACACACACACACACACACACACACACACACACACACACAGAGACAGAGACAGACAGACAGACAGATAGAGTCAACATGGACACTAACAGCATTGTGTATGTGTGTAAACGGTGCGATTGGGGGATTTCGGTGCCTCTGCTTTTAAAATCCCACTTTCTGGTCATTCATTTTTATTCCTGTTTCTGGTCAGACAGGATGCATTTCCCATTTCCGACAGAAGATGGTGATGCATGTTTTCCTACTGGCATATTAAAACATGTTTTATAGATTCGACTGAGTGTGACATGAGTAATCTGATTAATATTATATTATAATTTTAGGTCTAATGTTTATAAATGGCAGGTCAACAGTTTCACTAGCGACTGCCGTCATCAGCACGAGGCGAGATTTGTTACAGATGTTAGTTCTGTCACTGCAAATAGCCTAGTAAAATGTGCACATCACTACGACTTATTCTGGACTAATATGGATAAAGATAAAAGATTGTTAGGATAGATGGCTGAAATGTGTTCAAAATGTTTGACAGCTTACCTGAATACCACATGAGCTCTGTAAATTGCATAAATACATTTATATTCATGTTAATTGTTAAAAAATAAAATTTACTTGTATTTATATATCTAATTTTATATATATTTAAATTTATATTTTATATTTAATTAATATAATAATTAAATTAATATAATATTGAAATATTAAATTTTTACTGATAATTTTTAACTATACTTTCTAAACTACACTGTCTAAATTTCTACATTAAAATTTCAATGATGACATTCTTGTTCAAATAAGTTTTTTTATTTTTTCCAAATATGTGATGGTGATAAGCAGTTTGTGTATACAAGGTTTTTTTTTTTTTTTTTATGTTCAGTAAAAGTTTTATTTTGATTTTTTTTTTATTATTATTTATACACAGGGCTTTACACAACTTCATATTACAATTATTTATAAATTCAGTGAACTTCTGTCCAGAGAAATATTGGAAATTGCGCAGCCTCATTTATTTATTTTATTTTTAAATTCAACTGAATTAATTATTAGCTTTTCATCAACTCATGAACCCTCTGCAGTTCCCTCCCCAACCCTGCTGTAGAGCAGTGGTCCATCATATGAGATGAGCTCAGTGTAGATTTCTATGAACTATTCGTCTCTCTTTTATGGAATATTTTTATATTTTTTTAACTAATTTGCCAATTAAGCCCGTGAGATCCATGGTGGTGCAAAGTCTTAACAATTCTGGAACCCCAAACCCTCTGTGTGTTCTTGTATGTTGTGATTAAGGCATTACTCACCGTGAGGAAGACTGATGCGAGCAGCAGGATGACAGAATAGACCAGGCCTTTATTATTGATGAATATCTGACAAAAGACAAAGAGCGGTCAGAGGAAAGCATCAGTGGAAACACATCTGCACTGCACGAACAGTAAAATAAATCAAACACTCACTGCTGATCCATGGTCTACTACTAGCGTCCTCAGAGCCCAGGGGAAGCCCAGTCCCAGCAGGATGTCAAAGATATTGCTGCCAATGGAGTTCGACACTGCCATGTCCCCCATTCCTGAGACACAAAATACAATGAGAATGTAATGTATTTTACAAATAACATGCTAAAACAACATACCGAAACATGCTTAAACGTGCTAGCAATGTGTTAAAACATGCTAGTAACATGTTCGCAACGTTAACATATGCTATCAGAATGCTAAAGCATGCTAAAATATGCTATTAAAATGCTAAAATGTTGCAAAGCATTCCAGCAATGTGCTAAAACAAGCTAAAAATGCTAACAACATGAGACAAGCTAACCGCATGATAAAACATGCTAGCAATTGCAAAGCAACACTCTAGCAACCATCCATAACCTCCTAAAAACCATCTAACAAAACCCAAGCAACAACCTAGCAGCCACCCAGAACACCCTAGCAACTGCATAGCAGCTCCCTAGCAACCACATAGTAAAATCCTAGCAGCCACCCAGAACACCCTAGCAACTGCATAGCAACTCCCTAGCAACCACATAGCAAAATCCTAGCAGCCACCCAGAACACCCTAGCAACTGCATAGCCACTCCCTAGCAACCACATAGCAAAATCCTAGCAACCATTATCTATCTATCTATCTATCTATCTATCTATCTATATTAGAAAATTCTAGCGTTTAAAAACTACTTTATACTTAAAACAATTTCAAACTTCAAGATTTTATATAAAATGATCTTAAAGATAAAAGCATGCATACAAACATTTTTCTGTGCATATACAGGTTACACACCTTGGCGGGCGACGATGAGGCTCGCCATGCAGTCGGGTACACTAGTGCCAGCAGCCAGGAAAGTGATTCCCATGATGTAATCAGGAATACCAAGTGTGTAGCTGATGATGGTGACCTGCAAAACACACCAGATAGTGACAAAAATCAGCATAATCGACCAACTCATAGAATGAATAGTAAAGACTGCTAGATTTAATAAGAGTGTCTATTTTTCATCTTTTTCTTACCATCCACACCATGAGGTAGGAAAAAATAGCAATCCAGAGGGTTGATGCAATGAAGGTGATCATGAACCAGCGATGCCAACGCGGCAAAACACAGTTAGGCACTGTGTAATACAGCAGAACAGCCAGCGGCCAGGACACAAGCCACTTCAGACGCGCACAGTAGCCAGCTAATGCACACAAGACACAGAGACTAAATAACCAAAGAACATTTTCAAAGTACTATTTTGATTACTTCTGAATACATTTTTTGGAAGAAAAAATATATGCATGTATGTATGTACTGTATATACACAATTATTTACTGTGATGGACAATAATAGTCCTATCTTAAAGGAATAGTTCACCCCACTCCAGTCCATCAATTAACGTCTCGTAAAGCCAAAAGCTGTGTGTTTAAGAAACAAATCCATCGTTAAGACATTTTTAACTTTAAACTGTTACTTTCGGTTAAAATATGAGTCCATAATCCATAATGACGCTTCCTCCAGTGAAACAGTTCATCCCCTGTTGTCTCTCACATCAAAATCCACCCACATATTTGTTTAGAGCTGTTTTGGACTGTTTTGGCTTGTAAACGGTGGTCGATCTGTGCAGATTTCTCTCCTGATTGAGACGAGACGACTTCACTGGAGAAAGCAATATTATGGATTATAGACTCATTTTTTAGCCGAAAGTAACAGTTAAAAAAAAAATAAAAAAACATGTTAATGATGGATTTGTTTCTTATAAACAGGCAGCTTTTGGCTTCACAAGACATTAACCCTTGTGCGACCTTTTGGACATTTTTGTCCTTTTCAGTTTTGTTTTTTTGATCGTTTTGCCTGTGTTATTGCCAACTGCATAAATTTTGGCACAGGTGTGTTGAGCAAGTGATGCAATGCTACATTTCTCCATATTTGTTCTGCTGAAGAATCTAGTGATGGCCGCTTTTGAAACACTGCTTCATGAAGCTTCGAAACCTTTGCTAATCAATTGTTTCGAAACAGTGGTTCGGAGCGCGTGTCAAAATGCCAAAGTCACGTGATTTCAGTAAACGAGGCTTCGTTTCGAAACGTTTCTAAATTGTAATAGTTCGCCTTAGTCTTAAAACTTGAATAGTTCGTGAATCATGCGAGCGGCGAACCACTGCATCAGCGTCTATGGTTATACGGTCTCGGATTTATCAGCTGTTTGGACTCTCATTCTGACGGCACTCATTCACTGGAGAGCACCCACTGGTGAGCAAGTGATGCAATGCTATATTTCTCCATATTTGTTCTGCTGAAGAATCTAGTGATGGCCGCTTTTGAAACACTGCTTCATGAAGCTTCGAAACCTTTGCTAATCAATTGTTTCGAAACAGTGGTCGGACTTGGCAACTGTGGTTCGCAGCGCGTATCAAAATGCCAGACGTCACGTGATTTCAGTAAACGCGCCTTCGTTACGTCATAACTGTTTCGAAATTTCAGTAGTTTGCCTTTTAGGGGCGATGATCTCCATGAACCCGTGAATCATGCGAGCTGAGATCGCCCTCCAGCAGCAAACCAATGAATCAGCGTCTATGGTTATACGATCTCGGATCAGTTTGATCAATTTGTAGACATTTTTAATGAGACATTTGTGTAATTAAAAGGATGAGTAGTAGTTAATAGTCTCTTACTGGCCTGTTTAGACAAACTCTCCATAAAACAAACAAAAACAAGCCCTTGCAAATTAATAATAATTATTTTAAAGACGCATATTTTACAGACACTTCATTTTTAATGGTATTTTATTATTTTGATTGCATTTAATATATTATACTTTCAAGAAAGCATTTGCATTGGGTTTGTAAAAGCTGTTTTTATGCATGTTTTGGCATGTTTAGTTTTTGTTGCATTTACACAGTTTTGACCAGCAGGCGTCACCAGCGTGTGGTGTTTCGAGCGCTTCGAAACAGTGAATCATTTTGCGAAGCAATTGGTTCAATTGATTCGAAGCTTCGAAATGGTTCGTTTCTCCCATCACTAGAAGAATCTACTCATCTTAGATGGCCTGAGGGTGAGTACATTTTCATTTCTGGCTGAAATGTTCCTTTAACGTGAAGCTGCTTTAATCTGTATTGTATAAAGCGCTATATAAATAAATGTGACTTGATTTTACTTGACATTACATACAGTTGTATACATACTAGATAAAGGTAACTAGAGATTCTCCTAGATTATATGATTCAAGGCCTACCACAAGCAGCAGAATAAACCAATAAGCGTTTGTTTTATAGATGCATTCAATCTGGTTTCGTGCACTAACCAGGAATATGGAGAGGTTTGAACATTTCGTCCCCGTCCTCATCCTCTTCCTCAGGCTGAGAGTTTTCCACCTCCACCTTCGCTCCTTTCTTACCATCCGTCATTTCTGTGTCCTCAGGTGTTTGCTGTGCTTCAACACTTCCTCCGTTTACTATCCCTCTAGAACCGAATGTCTTCCCTGAGGTCCTGCTCATCTTATTCTCCTGGAGCAGTCTCTGTCTCTGAGCAGAGCAAAGGAAAAGAGAGGAATTGACATTTTGGTGTGTCATTAGTGTCAATGCCAGTTGCATCATTCAGGGTTAGACAAGATTCTGAATTCAAGAATTGACTCCCTTTTCAATTTATCAATTGGGGTAATTTATAATGAAAAAAAATTTGCACCAAGAAATTGCTTGTAAATCTCAAATAATTACAAAGAAACGCCATTTAACATTTTAACTAATATACATTTTTAAAAATGAAATTGTATTTTCTTGTAAAACATGTTCCAATAATCTTTTTTTATTCATAACTTAAATTTTTTTTTTTACAGTGTGACAAAAAACTACATAAATTTTGATAAACCGTTCTATTTATTTCCTGATATATAGAACATGTGATATGCATAATAAAAATAACTTATCAGACATATTTGTCTTCAGTACTATCAAAACATCCATCAAGTTAAATAGTGATTTTGTAAACCAGCACCACAAATATCTACGGTCTACCACATTGAAACATTGAAACACATTGAAACAAAGTTTTCAAACTGAAAACAAAGTTTTATATAACTCTAAAATATGTGTGTATATAATTAATAAAAACAATCAATTTTATTACTACACTAAAAAAAAAACAATTTTCTCTTGCTAGTAACGTTCACAATTAATTACAAAGAAACAGCAAGTAACATTGAATTAAACATGACATTTTGAAGTAGAAGGCTCAAATATAAGTATTTTCTCATAAAACATGTTTGATTTATTTACAACTTCAAAAAATATTTTTTACAGTTCAATAGTGAGCAAATTTGAACTTTTCCCCCCACAAACAACTATGTATTAAATACAAATTTCTAAATATTTTTCTAAATATTTATGACTATTACAAATTCCAGACATATTCCATATCCAATTTATTTCTACTGAAAAATATATTAAAAACTACACTTGTATGAGCCATTTACATGAATTTCTTCTTTTTCATTCCATTTTAATAATAATTTCCATAATATTAATTTTCATTTCAAATAATACAATATAATCATGCATCCTCTTTACTACCTCAATTCAAATACAGGAATTGAATCGGAATTCAAAGGACATACTCTGTATTAGGTAACATTAACAAATAAAAATAAAATAAAATAAAAGAGTGATGTTGGAGTTCACCTCACTGATGAGCATACGTCCGGCCATAGTGAGACGGGTGCGTGGAGAGAAATGTGGTGTGATCATGACACGCAGTCCAGCCTCTGGGAATGAGAGCTGGTGTGGCCTTAAGATGAGCAGCTCATCCACCATCACTACTGCTGACTCCTGCGGCGAACCTGCTGGAGCTGACAACAGATACAAGTAAAAATTGCTTCTGCTTCAGGACCCAGTTTCTACACTGGATATGCACAGTGTTGGGGGTAACTCATTACAAGTAACGCGAGTTACGTAATCAGATTACTTTTTTCAAGTAACTAGTAAAGTAACGCATTACTTTTTAATTTACAAGAGAATATCTGAGTTACTTTTTCTATATTTGTCAAAAATAGAACTTTTTTATTTTAAAAACAAACAAGCAAGCCCTGTCCAGATTTAAAAAGTAACGCAAAAGTAACGTAACGCATTACTTTCCATAAAAAGTAATTAAGTAACGTAATTAGTTACTTTTTTATGGAGTAACGCAATACTGTAATGCATTACTTTTAAAAGCAACTTTCCCCAACACTGTATATGCATGTTATGAGAAGCAATGCATTTCATGCAAAACAAAAGCAATGCAAAACATACATGCATGCATGTACCTTTCCTCAACAGCACCATGGAGGTGTTGCCGTTTGTTCCCACTTCATCAGCCTCTTTATCTCTGGACGTTTGTCTCCTGACACAACATTGGCCCGGACTGCCACATGATCTCTGAACAAAGCTGGCAATCTGACTGTTAAACCTGCCAATGAGATTAAAGGGTTAGTTCACCCAAAAATGAAAAATACCCCATGATTTACTCACCCTCAAGCCATCCTAGGTGTATATGACTTTCTTCTTTCAGACGAATACAATCGGAGTTATATTTAAAAATGTCCTGGCTCTTCCCAGCGTTATAATGGCAGTAAATGGGTGTTATTCAATTATTATACATTCTGCAGTTTCACAGTTGACTTATATAAACTTCGAAAGCTTCTCCAAGGGTTTTTGAGTCGCTGTTTCTTTTTAAGGCATCTGCTGGCAACATAAAGCACACCAGCATCCAAAACACAACATATTCTTCATCTTTTCAACAGGGCTGTTGTATCTGTATGGAATAAATATGTACTATCTTGAATTATCAACATCTCTGTGACAAAACATGCTTCAGCTTCCCTCCTCCAACAAAACAGAGAGGAGGGATGTTTATCTGAGGCTTGAAGAGCTCAAGCCTCCCCTAATGGCCTTAAAAGGTGCTTAATGAAGGTTGTTGTCATGTAGCAGATCCTTATCTCTCTAGGATCTATGTTGTCTCTACAACACTCGTACTCATCAGCTCTCCTTTCCAAACAAATGAAACATGCTCCTCTCTCTCATACACATGCAAGAGGTGTCATGCATTTGCAATTCCAGAGCAATAAAGAGAAGAGAAACTAGCAAACGGATATGATTGAAGCAACAGGGAGGTCTGTGTAAATGTATAGCTTCAAGACATTTCGGTGTGGGCTATTATTTGATCTTTAAAATGAGTTGCAAACTCTTCAAACTTAATATTCATCCCAGAAAAAGACTTAAGTATTAATTTTTTAAAAGTATTATTTTTTTTGTGATTATCTGTTGTTATTAGACCTCGAGGATGAGTTGCAAACGCTTCTAATTTTATTTTCATTTAAAATGTAGAGCAAAACTTCCAGAAAAAGACTTATTCATTTTTATTCGTATTCATTTTATGATTGTTTGTTGTACAACTTTCCTGGTAGCTCCCAAGGTTTCTTCCTCTCAAACGTAACCATCTAGGGAGTTTTTCCTTAACACATTAGCATTCAGGTACAAGTTTCAGCAACACTTCTTTGAAACACAGTATTTATTGTTAAAAAGTGCTATGCTAATAAAACTGACTCAACAGCTGTCTTTTTTTATGAATGTATCATAGGTTCTCTCCTGTTGTTAAGTATTTTTGTAATAGTACTTCATTATTAATAAGTATTGATAAATAACAATATTTTTTT